GCGGGGGGGGGGAGGACAGCGGGGGGGGGGAGAGGGAGAAGGAAGCAGGCAGGAGAGGACTGGCATGAAGGAAAAACAGTGGAAGATGGACAGGAAAGGAAGAGGGAGACAGAGGAGAGGTTGGAGGGATGGAAATGGGGCCGTGGCTGGGGGACAGCAAGAATCACTTGCAGGGGCATGTCAATATGGCAAACTCCAGGAACCTGCCAACTGTCTGGGAGTGGATGGCTGCACCCTAGAGGAAGAAAAGCTCTATAGGGATTGCATTCCATGCAGAATTCAAAGTAAAGCTGTTGAGTCAGGGAGAAAGTCCCCTGCAGTCCTCAGAAGAGGTCAAGGTTACAACACCTAGAAAGTGTTTACTGTGAACACTGAACTATGGGACAGATCACCGGGTCCTCAGTAAGCTGGACTTCACTAAAGCACTACTAAGCCCTCATGTCAATCAGCACTGTTCTCCTCACCTTGCTGACAGATGAAGAGGCTGGGGTCCACAGAAACTGTAACCTGCCAAATACACAGTCAGCCAGGCCACCTGACTTCAGAGCCCTAACTACTATTTTACCTGCAAAGACCATATTTATCTGCTTATAAATCCACATGGTACAATTTCTTCGCTTTTAATTAAACTTTTGGAAATTCTTAAAAAAAAAACCCACACCCACATTTTCAAAATAAGAATAAACTCCAGTGGACTCCAGTCACTCTTCCCCATCACTGCCTGGCACGCTCAGGGGCTCACAGTGGTCCCAGAGTTGCTATCTCTACACAGTTTAGTTCGGGGATACTGTCTAGGCTGTGCCCATGTGGACTGCCAGAGTGTCGACAGTGCGCATCCCCACACCTTTTGGAGGAATTGACAGGTGTGTAATAACTATCTGCGATCACATGAACTCAGGGCAGGAAGTTATTGCTATGCCTAGTCAGAAACACAAAGTCTGTCACTATCTGTCTAAAGCAGATGGTGTCCCTGCCTGGGAATGACAGTGGCCATAAAGAGAATCTGCACTACTCAGAAAGAAAATGGCAGTGTGTGTGTGTGTGTGTGTGTGTGTGTGTGTGTGTGTGTGTGTGTCACTAGTTTGGGTTAAGTTCACAAATGACAGTCTCAGAGATGCTTGGTCATGTCATAAGTAAGCAGTCACTCACCCTACGTGTCACAATCCCACAAAACGTTAAGTCGAGTGTTTTGATTCCCAAAACAAATCTGACATTGTCCATCCTGAACTCAAGAACTATATTTTCAATGAAATCAAATACCAAAACAAAATCCCTGGCTGTGAAACTGACTTCTAAAAACTTTTCTAAAATCTTAACAAAGTATACAGTGCGGGGAGACGCCGCCAAGAGGAGAAGCATCAGGACTTCATCTTCTCAGTCTAACTTTCTTCCGTGGACTAAGCCTTTCTAAACGTGAAGACAGCACATTCTATAGCAATGTTAAATGTCTCAGCTGCAAGTTAAAAAGGTCTAAATTATTTTACCAGAATTTATTTGGCTTTTAAGACTATTCGGTTTTCATTCTATGGATAAATATTTTGTCCACTTGCCTCTATTGCAAATTATTCATGAAATTTTTCCTTCAGCTTAAAGAGGCAACTTACATATCATACGATGGAATGACCCTGGTTCAACTATTCCCTGGGGCAATTGCTTAAAATACAAGTCCCACAGCGAACCCCAGCTTCGCTCCCTACAACAAGATTAACTGACAGACTAAGGCAATTAAACATGCTATAAATGTTTGAATATACAATTTTATTTGGGGCTCTTGGTACTGATAAGGTTCCTCATAAGATAAACGCCTGATGTGTGCAAACTTCTCTAATGTTAGTCAAAACTGTGCAGGCTGCTCGGTGTCTTCCCAGTAAGAGGAAACTGCTATGGAGAAGGAGCACGCGTGTGTGGAGCAGCTCCTTGCTGCTCCTACCTTGGGCAGAACACAGGCTACTGGAGAGCTGCCTCCCTTCCCAGGTCTGGTTTGAAGTCAAACTACACTGATGTTTCTTCAAAACGTGGAATTTATACCCCAAGCAGATGTAAGCTGTTATTCTAAAATGCTTTATAGATGAAGAAAATGAATAGCTATACTCAGAGGTTTTCTATTCCAAAATACAACATACCCATTTTATAGCACCAAAAGTTACAAAATGGGTCACTGTTGTGACTTGTTTAATGCCTCCATTTAAGATGTTTTGTTTGAGTAATGTTGTTAAGACCCAGGGCACTAATAAGTGAGCAGCAATAAACCCAGCTACCATCAAAGAGGCAGAAGCAGGGGACCCTGCTACAGTTCAACATGGATTCTGCTCAACAACAAGCAAAGAAGCAATTCTATCCCTTGAGTGTATGTGAAGATTCTGGTGGAAATAGAGAAAGTGGCATCACTAGTAACACGAACAATGTACATGGTTATATCATAAGCAGGACTTACTATCCAAGCACTGGACTGCAATTCTGCTTGAATTCAATCAATGTTTCTAACCTTATGATTATAAGATAAATAGCCTTTCATAAACAGTGAGTGATTTATAACCGACAGGCTATAAAATATCATTTCTAAGTATTATTTACCTCTGCAATTTGACTATTTGATAGAACAATCACATAACAAGATACTTTTTTAAATAAATAAGGGTAGATTGTAAGCTATAACAAACACAATGTGAATGACCTACAAACCTATGGAACAAGAAGTTATACTTTAAGAATGAATGTTATTATACTTGGCAAAAATGACCAACATTTCTGTTTATAAACTCAAGGAAATGTGCAAGACTTAAAATTCCAAGGTGTAATGGTTAGTCCTAATCGTTAGCTTGGCCAGATTTAAAATCACCATGGAAACAAATCTCTTGGCTTGTCTGTGAGGGATTATATAGACTAGGCTAGTTGCAGTAGGAAGATGCACCCTAAATGTGGGTGGTATCATTCCACAGGTTGGAGTCTTAGACCCAATAAAAACGGGAAAATGGGCTCTGCGCACACACCCTTGCTCTCTACTTCCTGGCTGGACCAGTGTAGGCAGCTGTCTTCACTCCTGCTAGCGGCCTTGGTGGACTGTGTCCACTCACAGTGACACCTAAACTAAACCCTCCCTCTCTTCACCTGCTTTTGTCAGGTACTTCACTGTGGAAACAAGGCGAATACTAATGCCCAAGATTTAAAAGCAGCATGGACGTGCTCTGCTTGCCACCGACACAGGAATGGCTCCAAAGCTGCCCAGTCCCCTTTCCGAGGAATCCTACGAGGGAGACTTCTCTCCTGTTGATGGCAATTTCCAAGTTAATGTGCTTCATTTAGGGTTTCCCATTCCAGTGTCCCACAATGACAGCCATTCCCCTCTTAAATAAAAAGAAAAAGCTGACTGTTCTTTCTTTCTTCCTTTCTTTCTTCCTTTCTTTCTTTCTTTCTTTCTTTCTTTCTTCCTTTCTTCCTTTCTTCCTTTCTTTCTTTCTTTCTTTCTTTCTTTCTTTCTTTCTTTCTTTCTTTCTTTATTATTTTTGGTTTTTCGAGACAAGGTTTCTCTCTGTGTAACCTTGGCTCTCCTGGAACTCACTCTGTAGACCAGGTTGGCCTCCAACTCACAGAGATCTACCTGCCTCTGCCTCTTGAGTGCTGGGATTAAAGGCGTGCGCCACCACCACCCAACTCAGTCAGCCATTTCTGTTCAATACCAGTGGAGGCCAAGGGCAAATGATGGGGAGAAAGAAACCCCTTGCTTCAAAATGACTAGCATTCTTTAAAAACAAAATAAACCAAAAAACAGGGCAGAGTTAGAGCCACTCAAAGTCGGCTAGCAACTGCCTATCAAGGACAGAATTTCAACAGTAAACACATCATGGACAGAGAACAATTAATACATGCTCTCTAGTGCTCCGCATTTACACGCCCAGGACTGCCATCTAGAGAACAGTCCCAGCACGGTTAGGACAGTTCTTCCCACATCGATTAATCTAACCAAGACAATCCCTCACAGAGGGCTCAGAGCTAAACAATCCCTAGTAGGTGTGCCTGAAGGCTTGCCTCCTAGGTGTTGGGTTGACAATACTAGCCCCTATACAGGTCTCTCACTGATGATGGAACTCATGGATTGGGCTAGGCTGGTCGGCCAATGAACACCAAGATCCTGCCATCTCCATCTTCCCAGCCCTGGTAGTACAGATGCTTGCAGCCATGCTTGAACAT